TGACGTTCAGGTTATGTTTAGAAGCGAGGTACAAGCTGCTACAGAGTGGCCTTTATGTGCCTCGAGCCCCCCCCTCATCTGCCTTAAACCTTGCACTCCTTTTAAAAATCCCTCCAGTTTCCTCCACTAGTCTTCTGCCCGTCTATAAATAAACGCCTTGATTCCCATATGGAAGTCTCTGTCCGGTGCCACTTAACTCTCCCTTGATGTGAAACCCTCAGCACTGACCGGCCGTCGCTGTCCAGGGGCTACTCTGTAGCAGCTTGTACCTCGCTTCTAAACATAACCTGAACGTCAGGCTCCTTGCTACAATCTTACACACACACACACACACACAACACGTATGGTAAACTCGGATCTCAGGCTCATCTATAGTGTGAGGCTCTCTTGGCACTTTATGACGATTACCTCTGTAAGATACTACTCCTGTCTGCCCTGTCAACCATCTCCAGCCCTCCCTAACTCCGCCCTTCAGCCCCCCCCCCACACACCCTCACACCCCAAAGGGCACCAAGACCCCGGCTGCCGATGAGCCACAGGGCGCTCTTTAAGAAGCTACTGCTTGAAATGTATCCCTTTCATTTGCACAGAGGCCCTTTTTTTTTTTTTTTTTTGACCAAGTACGTCTTCAGGTGGAATCATGTGAATGCATTTTTAACGATGACAGCGATTTATGTTTGATTACTGTTAACAGTCGATTGACACAATGTTTTTTTGTTTTCCCATGATCTTAATATGAAAAAAAATAATATTCCAATGTTATTTTTATTACATACCTTGGAAAAAAAATTGAAAATGTGGAAGAAAAAAAAAGTTTGGAGAAAATAAAAACATTGACTGCTTAACAGAAGAAACCAAATGACCTGTCGGATGCCTTTTTTTTTTTTTTCTTTGGATGAGAAACTCGCATTAAAATAATGTATTCCCATAAAATGGGAGGCTTTGTCATTTGTGTGTATTTGCTGTATGCGTGTGTGAGGTTAAAGCAGGGCGGGGAGTATAGATCAGCACACTGTAGCCGCCGGGGGCCTGGCTGGATCCATCAACTATTTATAACTCAGCTGCTAGTGCAGGATGCTGGTTGAGACATGGCTTCCTGCCTGACACGTTGAAGCCAAAGAACTGGAGAGACAGCTTTAAATAGTTGAGAGAGCTGCCTGTTTACTGCAGAGTTGGGTGATAATTCAGCCTTCCACAGACCTCTGCCTTGCTGCTTTGATTTCAGGGTCCAGGTATGGTGCATGCTCACTGTCACTCTCACTGGAACACTTGAATGGAACAGAGAGCCATAGTTAGTGTTATTAGTAACACCTGTTCCCTCACTACTACGACCAGTCAACATGTCTGCTGTGAGAAAGGCCTGCCTGTCCGGCCTGTCCGGCCTGTCCGGCCTGTCCGTGAGCTCTGCGGCCAGTTCCTTCCACCTCACGTCTCGGTCTTTGCTCTGATATGCGTCATCGGCTGTGAGACCTTATATAGAGAGGCGTGTGCCTTCCCAAATCATGACCAATCAATTTTTATTTACTCCAGGTGGTATCCAATCAAGGTGCACCAGCGTCTCAAAGACAATCAAGAGAAATGGGAGGCACCTGGTTTTAATTTACAAGCATCACGGCAAAAGCATCTGAACACATATGGCACCGTACATCTACAAAACAAAAGAGCTATAATCCAGTTTTCGCTTTGTCATTATGGTGTATTGAGTGTAAATTGATGAGGGGGAACATTTATTTAAATGATTTTAGCACAAGGTTGCAACAGAACAAAATGTGGAAACAATGAAAGAGGTGTGAATACACATAGTACTGTAGCCATGTGATCCATTGCCATTATAAAATATTGATTATAGATGCTTTAACCTCTTCTAATGATGCTGAAAGGGCACGAGTACAGTCAAATTATTATGCCAGTAAAAAAACATCAATCCGTAAGCACATGGTGTTAACAGGCCTACTTGTGTGAGAGGTGGTACAGTAGCTGTGTGTGTGGTTGTTTACTGGCACGGCATCAACACATCAGGGTCATTTGTGTATTAACGTTTTTCAAAGAAGAATATTTGGAGCACAAATGTAGCTATTCAGCGAGGTCGACGCACAATTGACAAAGAAGGCAACAAAAACAGCTTGTTTTTAATCAATAGAGCTTTTCCCAGTACTCCAACAACAATGCAAAGATTGCTGTGAAATGCAACTAATGTTAATGCGAGCCATTCAAGTCTGGTGGAAGTTGCTGCTGTAAAAAGAACATCAGTCGTCTTCAAACACACACACACACACACACACAAAGTAATGAGATAAAAGTGAACTAGACGCTGCTCAGTTGAAGTAAACAATTATGTTTTATTGATAAGGTTCTCAGAAGAGTCTCGTTTCAGTGAATGTATAAGAATCATCCTTTTGATAATACTGATTTGGTACATTATGACATCCAGCACGAGTCTCTTCACAGTGAGAGGGATCCATTACTGCTACTGCTGTTGGGATCTAGGACAGAAATGTATCTCTGCTTCCAAACCAAAAAACAGTCAAAAACAACAAACTGGGGATTGATATTGTAGATATGGAATATTAGAGTGCCACAAAACTCTAGAGCAGTAAGACCAGCTAAAGATTTTGCACATTACAAGCCACTTCCTCTTAGAAATATAAAACTCGATAATCTGGACAATATTCTACTGTGCTGCATAAAGGTAAATCTATACACTGTACATCGAAATATAGCTCGAAAAAACAGATTTCACAGTTTTAAAGACTTTATTTAAAGTATAAACCGTTTTTTTTTTTTTAAACACTTTATTACATAAATTATTCTTTTTGAGAGTGACTATTATTTTGCCCTGGCAGCAAACGGAAATTAATACAAAAACAAAAATTCTTACATATTTTTACAAAAGAAAATAAACTCGTCCATTAATGTTCATTTGGAATAGAACTGGTGACTCATTCATGATTGTCATATAGTACTAAGAATAAATAAATAAAAAAAGAATAAAATAAATAACTAACTTAGCATGTTTTTTTCCGGACTCTGTGAGCGGTGTGTTTGATCGTTCTGTACAGAAGTGCCTTGGTGAAAGTCTCACAATTCTACCGCGACTGAAACGTACAAAACTACGGCATCTACGATATACGCAACATCCTGAAATTTAGTGTAGTCGGACACATATGTCGGAATATGATTCTTCACGCCGTTCCAAAATAAACAATGCTGTGTGATACCACTTGTCCACAAATATAGCCATCACTTTTTTTTTCTTCACTTTGTTTTTTTTAAAAAGTTTATTTCTCCAGCCCGTCAAATAGCTCGGACTCGTTCAAGGATGCCGTTAGCTCGCGCGTGTTGCCTGGGTTGGATGTGCGCCGCCTCAGAGGCAGAGGACTGGTCCGTGGTAGGACGATGGGAGGCCTGAGACAGGGAGACGACTCATAGTATTGGACCACCTTTTGACAGTGCCTTGTGTGTCGCTGTTTATGATGTCCTCCGTTGATGTGTGGTAGTTGCGGCTGCGCTCTGGAGTGGCTCTGTCTCCACTTTGGTCCCTGTGCCTTCAGCGTCCGTTAAGAGACGGTAAAAGCCTTCGCCGCAGAAGCCGGCGCGGCGCGACTCGCGTTCAGTAGCTTTCGTGGCCGCTCTCAGTGTGACCCAAAAAATATGGGCGAAAAATATCACTATCTTTTTTAAAAAGGGGAATCTTCTTATTCACTAAGCAACGGTTCTCAAAGTTCTTCAGTGCTTTTTTAAGTTGTTCAAAGTTTTTTCAAAAAAAAAAAACGAAGAAAAAAACAAAACTGAATCGCTTGACTAAACTTTTACATTTGTTTTTGCCTGTGGCAGTAAAATGAACAATAATCTGTTTTCTGATAAGTCATTCTTTTCTAAAAGGTCCCTGCAGCGTTCCGTGAGTAACTCCGTGCGTTGGTTAATTCTCCATGGGTTTTTGAGAGGAGTCGGGTCGAGGAGGCCGGGTAGGAAAAAGGAGCAGGATCTAGAGAAGTGAAAGTGGGGAGAGAGGGACGAGTCTGCCCTTCAAAACAGTTTCAGGTGGGCTGTTACCTCTTGCCCATCTCGTTCTGTCTGAGGAACTGGATGTTGTTGCTGCTGTCAGCCAGTTCTGGATACTGCTCCACAGGCAGTACGTAGTACCCGTCATAGCCTTGTACTCTGCCTGTCGTTAGGAGCTGCTGTCTCTCCCCTTCCGTCCACAGGCGATTGCCTCCCTTCCCATCCCTGGCCCTCTGCTGTTCCTTGGCCCAGGCCCCGGCCAAGGCCCTCTGCCTGGCCAGCTCCAACAGTCTTACCTTCTCTTCATCCACCACATCCGCCGCGAGCCCGTACCGAACACTCAGCACCAACGCCGGGACCGCAAACTCCACAGTCACCCCTCTCCTCGAGCGGCCGCTCACTGTCACGTTGATACCGCTCTCCAGCGACTTGCGCCCGTTGGTGAGCCCCAGGGCCAAGAGGTCGCTGTCGGCCGAGCCCACCTTCACAAAGTAGTGGCAGTCCTTCCCATCCTGGGTGTAATGGGTGCCTTCCAGGTACTGGGCGCCGTTCAGCACCAGGGCCACTTTGCGGCTGTCGTCGTTGGCCAAAGCTGACACGCCAGCCACCACGCGGCCCTCCTTCAGAGCCAGCATTACTCCTCGGCCTATTATGGGGGTGCTGGTGCCGAACCAGTGGCCCGGCTTGTCCTTGCGTCTCCGGCGCTCCTTATTGAGGCGACGGCCCTCTAGGGCCATGAAGGCCTGGTTGTGACGCTCTGCTGCCTGCTGCACACCGGTGAGGAGCTACATGAGAAAATAAAAGAGTGTGAAAGGTGACCGGTATCTGCATTAACTGGATCACTATCTTAGGGTTCATTTTTATACATGATTCTGTCGATGGAAATATAGTCAGCACGGCGCTGCGTACCTGTCCGTTCTCACAATGCTGCGTGGCCTGCAGCTCGTACGGCGGCTCCACAAAGTACAGCGAGTGTCGGGGGAACCCGGGGATTATGTTACTGAGCTGGAAGCCAAACATCACCAGCCAGCTCTTCACATCTACAGCAGACAGGAGGGAAATTAATTAGCTGAATGACTAAGTTAAACACGGTAGCAAACAAATCATTTCTTTTATCATAAGAAGAAAAAAGTGAACGTGTATTTGCTCGTGCGACACATCTGGTGTTATGCAAAGCTATCAGCTACGGTGCCATCTGCGGCACATTTCTTACTTGCATAAGCTATGTTTTCTTCAACAATCTGTTTCTTCTGCACAATAGAGATATCAAAGACAATGTCAGGACTCAACAAGCTGAGTTTGGCTTGTTCTGGAGATGTGATTGAAGTTATCCGCAGTCTGACTATTCTGCTGTTTCAACACTACGTTCTTGAAAGAAAACAGGGTTTTAATTGGCTTGATTATGTAGATTATGCAACAGAATTCACCGTCCACACCACATTAATGTGTATCAATCCTCTCTACCTGTGACGTAGTTTTTGACGTCCAGCATGTCACTGAGGGGGTTGTTGTTCTTGAACATGTACAGATTAAACGGAGAGGGATCCTTCCCGATCTTGGGCCAGATGCTGTAGTCGGGCGACGTCCAGCGTCCGGCCAAGACGTCGTAGTCCCGCTGGGTGAAGTGGACCAGCTTAGTCAAGGGGTCGTAGAGGCCGCCGTGGAAGCCGACCACCAGCTGGAACTCCGGGTTGGAGTCCAGGTACACCTCTCCGTAGGCCGTGTACTGCACCTGGGTGACACGAGCATCAGTCATTTTCCTTAAGAAGCCTTGTCCATATGTGTTTTTACCACATCATTATATTTTCGCAGCAGTAATTGATTGCAAACAAAGTGAGAGTCAAAAGATTCTTACCTGTTTGATCATTTGTCCATTGCTGCTGAAGACAGCCAGCGGTGTGCCAGTGTTGTCAGAAGCTATATAGTATTCC